CGGAAACACTGGGATACGTCCTTATGTTTTCCCTCATTGTCTTGAAACGCCGGGATACGTCCCTATGTTTCTTCTCTTTTTTCGAAACACCGGGATATGTCCCCATGTTTCTCATTCCTTTCCGAAACAACGGGATACGTCCTTATGTTTTCCCACCTTGTTCTGAAACACTGGGATACGTCCCTACATTACTTCTTTCCGAAACTCCGGGATATGTCCCTATGTTTCTCATTCTCTCCGAAACACCGGGATACGTCCCTATGTTTCTCTTTCCTTCCGAAACTTTGGGATACGTCCCTAATCTTTGGGGTACGTCCCTAATCTTTGGGATACGTCCCTAACCCTTGGGATACGTCCCTAACCTTTGGGATACGTCCCTAAACCTTTGGGATACGTCCCTAACCTTTGGGATACGTCCCTAATCCTTGGGATACGTCCCTATGTTTCTCCCTCTTCGGTTAAAAGCGTTCGGAATACGTTCCAATGCTTACACCATTCCGAAACGCCGGGATATGTCCCTATGTTTCTCCCTCTTTGGTTAAGAGCATTTGGAATACGTTCTGGTTCTTGAACCACTCTGGAACGCTGGGATACGTCCCTATGCTTTTCTTTCTTTCTGAAACTCCGGGATATGTCCCTATGTTTCTCATTCCTTCCGAAACTCTGGGATACGTCCCTATGTTTCTTCTTCTTTTTCCGAAACTCCGGGATACGTCCCTATATTTCTTCTTCTTTTTCCGAAACACCGGGATACGTCCCTATGTTTCTTCCACTTTTTCGAAACACTAGGATACATTCCTATGTTTCTTCCACTCTTCCGGAACATAGGGATGTGCCCCTATGTTCCTCCCTCTTTGGTTAAGAGTATTTGGAATACGTTCCAATGCTTATTATACATTTCCGAAACACCGGGATACGTCCCTATGTTTCTTGCATGATCATTAGTTATGCTCGGCTTGGTGCATTGTCTTGCATTTTGCCCCTGCCTTCGGGCGCATATCTTATTTGTCTTGCATATTTGTCTGAGTCTCGGCCTTGTCAAAAATGGGTCGTCTCTGGGCTTTGACATTCACTCCCGTCATTGTTATGACTTTCGAATTCTGTCAAAGAGGGGCAACTGTAGACACCCCATTTTTGACCGTCCTCAAGACTTGGACGTCACCGCTTGGAACACTCGGTGATTATCCATGTTTGTGTTCGTTTGGAGTTCCCGGAGGTCTCGGCTCGCGCGCCCTGCCTCAGGATCTCCGAACTCGACCGTTTAGTGTCTGATTTCACACCAAACACTTGTGTTTTGCCTTGAAGGGGCAGGGAATGCCTTGTGAGGCATCCCCACACACCACCGGCAGTGGCTAGAGGCCACCGGCTAGTTTTTGCTTCCATCGGCACTTTTTGTTGCCGGTCGGCACATTTTATTGCCGGTCGGCATAGTTTGTTGCCGGTCGGCACTCTTTTTTGTCGAAATGACATTTTTGGGCAGCCGACCACTGTTCATCTACTTTATGGAGATATTTTGTGCCAGCTGTGATAGCTGGCACCAACTCTGCCTCCCTCCATACACGTGTATGGAGGGATCTCCCTCTAACCAAGCTTGTTGTATAAGCTTTGCAAGAGGGAGTCCTATAAGAGGAAGGCTCTCCTCTTTGATCTAGGTGAGAGTTTTGGAAGCAAAAACCAGAGCTTAGAGATATAGATACATACTATCTCTATATCTCCCTCTCTCTCCTCCTTTATGTGTATTTCTTGGCCCAAAAGTGTATTTTTACCTTACTTTTGCACCATTACACACACTATTACACCTTGCTCCGAGATTGAGGGACTTGGAGGGTTGACTCTTGAGTTTTTGGACTGATTTTGATCAAAAGAAGAGGGCTAGACCATTTGTTCTTCAAAGGTTCTTCAAGGGAAGTTTCTGCCGACCGGCAGAATTCATTGCCGACCGGCAATCTGTTTACAGCCGATAGATCCAAAAACAGCCGATGAAAATCCTGGACTGCCGGTGGGGATTTCCCCCAGCCGGTGGTACTCTGTGGCATGCAAAGAACCTGTTCCAGGGCTGTGGCAATTTTCAGAAAGACAGGGCAGTGTAAACAGAGGTGGCAGAGGTACGGCGCGGGTTTTCCAGGCAAGCCGGATTTCAAGCACGCATCATTTGCGCATCCCGAGGCAGAGGCTGCGGCCATCCTCTTCTTTCTTTTGCATTCTTTCTATTAATTAATTAGAAATTCTGTAATAATTTATTTGCTTATCATTTGGACTGTAATATTTATTTGGCCCCTCCGAGTGAGGGCAATGATGTAATAAGTGTGGGTGAGTGTGTGTATGTCTTCCAATCCCCACTTCTTTCTTCCCTTTTATTTACCTGCTTATGATGGTAGATTAGGGCATTTTTGAAATTAGCATACCTTATGCTATACATGCGTGCATTCGTGCATTTGTATTACACGCATTAGGCTCGGTACATCATGCTAACTGCATTTGTATTTCAAATTCCAAATTGAATACGTGAATCAATTGGTTGCATCTCATATGCCATATTTAGGTTAACCGAGCCTACTCTGATTACATTTTTTCATGCGATGCATTAGTCATTTTAACATAAACTAGGACATGCATATTTGCTAACTAGTTTACTGTTTTGGCACGAAGTACGATATAAGTAGTTATGCTTTAGCATCCCGCATGCGTGTGAGTGTTGCCATGACAGTATGCTTGCCATGCGACTAAATGTTTATGTGATAAATTGTTTGAATGCCTGCGGGTGAAGGGTGGATTGTTTGAATTGGAAAAACTTATTAAAATCCGTGTTTTAGCCTACTTGCGAGTAGCAAATTCCGAAAACGCTTTTCAAAACAAACGGATATGCAATGCTTGTTTCCAAATTAGGCAATCTAATCTATACTTGTTTGCTGTGCGCATAACATAGTAGTGGCGACTCTGTATCTGGCAAAGCAGTCCATGTTTGGCACTTCTTTCAAAAAATATGTTTCTCAAAACGATTTGCCAGATTTGGACTCTTTGGTTCAGATTAAGAACCATGACGCAAATCGAGTCCGAACTGTAGCGAAGGGCCCCTCGCGGGCGCGTCTACAATATGTTCGATAAATTACAATAAATTTCTTTAAATTACATTTATATTTTATCCCCTTAAATTTTAAAACTCAACAGTTAAGTTATAACACATTTGTGATTGGATAGGATATATTTAAATTGATTTGATTTTTTTTAATTATAACTTAAAATATATAAAATTATATCATTTTCTTCTTTAATTATAAAGTGGATAGGGTGCATCATGAGAGAGATTTGTATGTGGATAGGATATATTCATATGGTACCTTTTATTATTGTGATTGGTGAAAAAATAGTGAAATAAGGGGATAACCTCCTCTCCATACTTGCATGTCTCCGTACCCTATTCATACTTCTCTTGTGGGTCCAAATTCGAATTCGCATCAATGATCCGAATAGTTTACTCTGTAGGTCCCGTAATAAAGGTCATCTATTTGAAAAAATCAATTTCATCGGACATCTATAAATACAAGAACAATCACATTTTGTTTTATAAAATGAATAACAAACAGGATTCAATGTGTTTGGTTTCAGTTTTTTTTAAAATTGAGTATTATGTTTTTTGTATTTTTTTTGTTTTTATTGAATATTTTTAAAATTTTAGGCATTTTTTTTTTAATTTTTTTAGATACACCCTACTTAGATGTATCTAAAAAGTAAAATAATTGTGAAAAAATATTTTTAAAAATTAATAAATACAAAAAAATATGAAAAAATATACTGAATTTTTGTATTTTATATATTTTTGATATTCAGTGAATTTTTTTAAAGATTTTTTTCACAAAAAATTATACTTTTTAAGTGTATTTATGTTGGGTGTGTCTAAAAATTTAAAAAATTGCTTAAAATATTGAAAAATTCAGTAAAAACAAAAAAAAATCAAAAATCAAAAAATAGAATTTTCTGAAAAATGTTTTTAGAAAACTAAAACCAAAAATGTTAATTGTAAACTTAAACAATTCATTTTGTAGAAAAAAGGATTTATTTATGTGTTTATAGTTGTCTGATAAATCTAATTTTTTGTACAGATAAACTTTACTGTGAAGCCTACAAGTAAACAGTTTAGATCGTCAAAGTGAGTCTAAATTGAAGTCCACAAGAAAATTATGAATGATTATGAATAGATGAAGTATGAAGGAAACCTTATCTTGGAGGCATATAGTTGAGGTCATGTTTGTTTAGCGGCGTGGGAGGGAGGGATTGGATTGCTATGGCTGCAGGTCCTACCCACAGCGTGTTTGGTGACGATTTGGGAGAGGGGATTGATAGTCCAAGGGGCTTAGTAATTTCCTTCCGTAGGGGGATTAGCTTGGCTGGGTTTTGGTTGAGTCTATTTTATATAAAATTTTTATTTTTTTTTACCAAGTGCATTTGTTTGTTTTAATATTTGTCAGTAGTTTTTTTAATATAGAAATAATTTATTTATTTATTTTATATAAAAATAATTTAACAATCCCATCACTAATTATCTCCCACACTATCATCAAAACAAGCACACTTTTACTTAATCCCCGTACTAGTAATCCCTACAGTAACAATTTCTTCACTAATTATCTTCTCACTAACAATCTCATCCAACTTAATCTGCTAAACAAACATGGCCTAAGTGTTTAACCTACAAAACGCTTTCGACTCTTTTCCACAGTTAAGATGCGTTTGTTTGGCAAATTAGATTAAATATGATTGTTAGTAAGGGGATGGTTAGTGAGAAAACTATTAATGTAGAGATTGTTAATGAGGGAATTAAGTAAAAATGTATTTGTTTTGATGATCGTGTAGGAAATAGTATCTAAATGTATCTAAAAATAAAAATATGCTGACTCAAACAATGGGGGTTCAACGTGAAATTCAACAATTGGGGGGTGTAAGTGTAATTTCACACCATTTCTTTCCAGCTGTGAAGTTGTGTTCTTCAGTTAAACTGATTCTTTATTCAGCGTTCCGGTGCTTCCCCGAAATTTCACTTCAAAGAATATCTATAATATATATATACTCTTCGTAACCGATGGAATTAAACTTCTCCCCATATATAGGATAAAGCCCTTCCCTTTCTCCCATTACAACTCTAATCCATTCTGTGAGTGTAGAGTGTTGAAAATGGAAATGGAGATGAGACCGTTTGAAACAGTTGTTCAACTCCCTCCGGTTGTGGCGGAGCAGCCGCCTGAATCTGCTCTTCAAGGTCCCCATCCTCTTGATCCCGCCGCCGAGCCTTCTGAATCGCTAGCCCAAGCTCCTCCTCCTCTTGATGCCCCGCCTGAACCAGTAATTCCACGCAATGCTCAGCAACAAGACCTAGAATTGCCGAAGCTAGTTGTAGCGTTCTGCCTCGCAGCAGCTTTTGAAATCGGCTTCCGATCCGTCCAGACTCGTAAACACTACCCTATAACCTTCCAATTGCTGTGTCTGTTAATGGTGTTTGCACTCGCTTTTCTCGTTGTTGCTAAATACATCGTTGCCAACTACCCAAAACCAGGCCGCTTGCTTGAGCACGCTGGACTACTCTGTGGAGTTACCGCTTTCTTTGCAGCCATCACCGTCTCTTTCCCTCTCTGCCTCAAGCTCATTTCCTGGATGGTATATGCTCTTTCATTGCTTGCCATTTCCATCTGCAATTGCGCTCCACCACTGTGAAATCCCAATGCTAATCCTGTAGCACAGGATTGTCATTTAGGTTGCTTTTTTATGGATATTAACTTTAATTATTATTAGCTGCTTTTGGTCACTAGTGTACTAATTAGTGGACGACGTGACATAATTTAAGAGGTTTTGGTATTTGTAATGTGACTAATGAGTGCGGTCAGTAATAATGTCATAACTAGTTGGTATACTAGTTAGTATACTAATTCGTGTATGTAGCAGCATCGATAATATTTATATATGTTTGTGGCCACTCTTAATGCAGGACTAGTAGTACTTAAACTTGCATGCATAGGATTCGGGAGTTTTATACTGTTTGTAAAATGGCTTTGTTTATTGGAATTACTTTGTTCCATCAATTATTAGTATAGTTTCATTTTTTTGATTGTGCTCATTGATAGTGAATGTGTAAGGGCTAGCATATGATTGAATTGCACAGGAACTCCCATTTGCAAAATTTTTAGGATCTGGAATCTGAAATTCAATTGTTTACTTTTCCTCTTCAATTCATTGTATGATAAATTGTGGAAACTAAGAGATTGCATCGACTGTTCACAAGAAATGTGCATTTGATCCCAGAAGCAATATTATTAATGCAATTTGGTGATGGAAAACAAGTAGTGAACATTTTTGTTACTTAAGTTCGATTATTAATAAGCATGATGTGGTTGGAGGTGCTATGATTCATAGGATCGAAATATATTGGTTAAAGTGGAAGAGTATGTGACATATTGACGTATTCTGTGATTCGTATGAATTTACTTATTTAACTAAGCATAAAATCATTGATAGAAAAATGATTCGTGTAGCCAACCACACTTGAATGGGACATAAAACTGAGCTTTGATTTGGTTTGGTTTTTGTGATGGGGCATATTCAATAAATGAATTCTATCAAAACAAGAAAAAATCTAGAAGAAAAGCGGAAAAATCCAAGGAACAAATCCCGTTGCACATATTGTCACCACTTTTCAAGATGATGTGAAACTATGTTGGAGAATCTTCTATTGAAGGCCAGCTCCTTCTTCTTCCTGTGTAATAATTTGACTAGGTAATTGGTATTTCATGTGAAAATAGTTCTGGTATCACAATTTGTAAGTATTAACAAAAAGCCTCAAAAAGCAATGAAGTTTATGCTAAGACTTCTTCTAGAACACAAAAACAATGCCACATCACAAAACAATAGGATAATCTTAAATTTCTTGTTAAAAATTCTTTTGCGGTTAAGATGACGGTCGTTAATGCACTTTGTTGTCATTTAGTTGTTAGATAGCTTGATATACATTGTTGGGTCCATTTCCTAATAGTTTAAGCTTTTGAAAAAAATTGGTAATGTAACATTGTATCAGAGTTTTGATTGAGAGAGATCTTGGGTTCAAGTCTCTCAGTTGACATTTTCTATTTTGTCCCTGTTTGGTTTCTCCCTCTTTGTTTTGTTGTTTGCTTCTCCTTCTGTTTGGTTCTCTGTTTGTTTCTCCACGTGCAAGACGGGGTTGCGCTTGAGAGAGGCTGTTAGATAGCTTGATATACATTGTTGGGCCTATTTCCTAATAGCTTAGGTTTTTGAGAAAATTGGTAACTTAATACTAATGGTGGTAAAATATATATATAATTTGATCCCAGAAGCAATATTATTAATCCAATTTGGTGATGAAAAACAAGTAGTGAACATTTTTGTTACTTAAGTTCGATTATTAATAAGCATGATGTGGTTGGAGGTGCTATGATTCATAGGATCGAAATATATTGGTTAAAGTGGAAGAGTATGTGACATATTGACGTATTCTGTGATTCGTATGAATTTACTTATTTAACTAAGCATAAAATCATTGATAGAAAAATGATTCGTGTAGCCAGCTACACTTGAATGGGACATAAAACTGAGCTTTGATTTGGTTTGGTTTTTGTGATGGGGCATATTCAATAAATGAATTCTATCAAAACAAGAAAAAATCTAGAAGAAAAGGGGAAAAATCCAAGGGACAAATCCCATTGCACATATTGTCACCACTTTTCAAGATGATGTGAAACTATGTTGGAGAATCTTTTATTAAAGGCCAGCTCCTTCTTCTTCCTGTGTAATAATTTGACTAGGTAATTGGTATTTCATGTGAAAATGGTTCTGGTATCACAATTTGTAAGTATTAACAAAAAGCCTCAAAAAGCAATGAAGTTTATGCTAAGACTTCTTCTAGAATACAAAAAAAACGCCACATCAAAACAATAGGAGAATCTTAAATTTCTTATTAAAGATTATTTTGCGGTGAAGATGACGGTCGTTAATGCACTTTGTTGTCAAGATTTATTTTCCCTTTCCTAAGTGAGAATCTCTTGTTGATGGTTTCTTGACTTGTTTATGGATATGACTTTGATATGTTTTCACATACAAATATATATATTGAATGGTGTAATATTTCTTATTTTTTGAACTAAAATATTAGTCATTGATAATCTTTAATGTCAACCATGTGCAACTGCTATAATTTGGTACTGAAGTTGATTACATTTTGCTCTTTGAAGGGATTGGAAATAAGCATAGAATAACAGGTGCACAATACATGTCCTGTTCTTGAAGTTTGTGTTTTCTGCTTTGTATTTGTATGTATGCTTCTTGAACTTGTATTCACTAGTTAATTGTTTCAAATATATGCTTCAAATTTGCATAATAGTGCTTTTTTGATTATATTGATTTACAATGTGTTAGTTGCATTTAGTTTTCTTGTAAATTTATAGAGCATTTCTTCCATGGTGCAATATCATCTATTTCTAACTGAATTATAATAAATATGGATGCATCTCATAGTGTTTTTTCATTTGAATAACATCTCATTTTTCATTTGGTAACCCAAGCTACTTGAATCTCAGTTTGCATGGCTGGATGCTGATATTTGCCATTAAAGTTATGCAAATATTGTAAAAAATTGAACTCTCTCTTTTGAAGTACCGGCGTAGTCTATAAACTAATATGCAATTCAATAGGATTATACATAGTGGCTCACAAGGCTAACTAACAACATGATCTATATCTAGGTGAGTATGAGATGGATAAATTAACTTACCAACCAGTCTCTGATATCTCTCCCTGTCAAATTAATCTTTAGTTTCATCCCCTAACATGCAATTCTGCTTCAACATGGTATCAATAGCTTTATACCCAAGCACACTTTGTCCTTAAGAAGGTCCAAAACATATGTTCTTAGTGAGATAAACACACTCTTTGAGATGTTGCAACTTGCAACGTCAATACTCAAGAAGTACTTCAAGTTACCAAAGTCTTTTATCTCAAACTCCTTAGTAAGATAGCTATTCAACTTCTGCTTTTTCTATGGATCAAATATCATCAACATACACAAGGAGTGCAGTAACCTTGTTTTCATGTTAAATAAATTGGGCATGGTCATCTTGACTCTATTTGTAGCCACATCTAAGCATAGCCCAAGTAAACCTCTCAAATCATGCTCTAGCAGACTTTGTAGGTGAAAGAGTACTTTTGGCATATTACACTAGCAATATCAGACTTTGTATGCTTCAAATTTGCATAACAGTGATTTTTTATTATATTGATTTACAATGTGTTGGTTGCATTTAGTTTTCTTGTAAATTTGTAGAGCATTATTTCCATTGTGCAACATCATCTATTTCTAACTGAATTATAATAAATATGGATGCATCTCATAGTGTTTTTTCATTTGAATAGCATCTCATTTTTCATTTGGTAGCCCAAGCTACTTGAATCTCAGTTTGCATGGCTGGATGCTGATATTTGCCAATAAAGTTATGCAAATATTGTAAAAAATTGAACTCTTTCTTTTGAAGTACCGGAGTAGTCTACAAACTAATATGCAATTCAATAGGATTATGCATAGTGGTTCACAAGGCTACGACATAATCTATATCTAGGTGAGTATGAGATGGATAAATTAACTTACCAACCAGCCTCTGATATCTCTCCCTGTCAAATGAATCTTCAGTTTCATCCCCTAACATGCAATTCTGCTCCAACATGGTATCAATAGCTTTATACCCAAGCACACTTTGTCCTTGAGAAGGTCCAAAACATATGTTCTTAGTGAGGTAAACACTCTCTTTGAGATGTTGCAACGTCAATACTCAAAAAGTACTTTAAGTTACCAAAGTCTTTTATCTCAAACTCCTTAGTAAGATAGCTATTCAACTTCTGCTTTTCTATAGATCAAATATCATCAACATACACAAGGAGTGCAGTAACCTTGTTTTCATGTGACTGTTGAATAAATTGGGTATTTTCATCTTGACTCTGTTTGTAGCCACATCTAAGCATAGCCCAAGTAAACCTCTCAAATCATGCTCTAGCAGACTTTTTAAATCCTATAATGCCTTTTTAAGCTTGCACACTCCCGTAAACTGAGAAATCCTCAAAGCCAAGTGGAACATCCATAAATACTTCTTCCTCTAAGTCTTCACAGAGTAAAGCATTCGTCATATCTAATTGTTAAAGAGGCTCAATATGTTAATTCTCTAGAATAGGCCACATGAAGAGCTTTCGAAATGGCAATGCTGTGAATTTCAGTCAAGTTGAGTGCTTAACTAACTTGCCATGAGACAAAATTGCATGCTCATATCAGTGAGTTTTTTCAGGACTATGTCATGTCAGAGAAATTCTACCTTGCAGCAAATTTGCCTCGACATGGTCTGGCTTATTTATTCTCTTTTCTGCAAATTGTGCTTTAAGCCATATGAAATGTTCATGAGTACTGTCATTGCTTCTAATCTGGATTTTCACATGACTTTGTAGATACATCTCTCATTGATAACATCTAAAATAACTTCAAAAGCCTGATAATTGATGAGCGCTTGGCAGGTCGCAATGACCTTCGGTGCTATTACTGGAATAAAACAACCAACTTCACTGGATAATTATACTTGATTGACTAGCATAAGCAAATAATATGAAGTGCCAAGCACTTAAAAGGTATTGGTCATTCTCAGTGACTCCTATTAGTTCTTCTGTGTCATTTTACATCCTTTAACATTTGCTCAATATTGATGACTGCATATTTCAATAAACTCACAGAATTTGACTTTCTTTATAGAATGCTTGCATGGCAGTGAAGCTGTAATATCTACTCAGATAGTTCTCACATCCTGATTATCTATAGCATGTGAGTGATTTTATCTATACATTATCGACTTATTATATAAATGAGTTCAAATTTCCAGTTGCAGGATGTTGATGAATGAAACATTGTCAATGGCAGATCCTTGAACTTACCAAAAAAAGAAAAAAAAGAAAGGTAGATCCTTCAACTTATACTAATATGATGAACAAAATATTCCAGTTCAGATTCAATTACTACATGCTGATATGCCAGTAGCTAGGGACTTCATTTTTCTTGTTTAGAGGCTTATTACCATCAATTTTATTGCTTTGTGTGCTATTTAACTTGTTACAAAGCCTTGTTTTTAGTGTAACTCTGTTGGATTCTATGTCAGTTTCATCGCTAAAATGAACAACTAAGATTACTGGAAAATCTGTTACTCTCAACATAGAGAATTCTAACCTGCTGAAGCTAGCAGATGCTAATTTTTTATTTCGAGTCAGCTTGAGGATGGTTGCACTGTGGCAATGCATTTTTCTACTAGTTAAATGGTGGATCATCTCCCATAAAAATAAAAAGAAAAGAAAGAAAGATAGAAAGTAAAAAGAGGGAAAAAAAATGGTGGATCATCAATCTTACATGACAATAATATTCTGTTTAACTTGTTAAAAAGCCTTGTTTTTAGTGTAACTTTGCTGGGTTCTATATCAGTTTCATTGCTGATACGAACAATTAAGATTACTGGAAAATTTGTTACTTTCAACATAGAGAGCTCTAACCAGCTGAAGCAAGCAGATGCTAATTTTTATTTCGAATTAGCTTGAGGATGGTTGGACTGTGGCAATGCATTTTTCTATTGGTTAAATGGTGGATCATCAATCTTAATGACAATAATGTTTTCTGTTGTAGGCAATGTGAGGTTAGTTGGCTTTTCTAACATAAATTCTTCAACTAATTAAGGCGTAGTGATGGCTAAAGGAAATTGTTTGCTAGTGAAGATCCAGTCATCCTCTGATCAGCTGCTATTATGTAGCTTGGGTATTTTTTATATTAACATTAACAGTTAGGGGTGAACCGCTGATATGTACCTTGGGTATTTTTTTTATTAACATCAACAGTTGGGGGTGAAGAATGGAACATTTCATTTTGCATGACAACAACTTGGTAATTTGAAATATACTTTTATAATCATATTACTGTACAAGGGATGTTTATCTTGGACTTGTGAATACGGATTTTCTGGACCAAACAACTCTTTGGCTCAATTGATTTGTACCCGAAGTTGACATCCTCTTACTTTTGTTTCACATCCAAGTCTTTCCTACAAACCTGTATTGTCCAACAAGATGAGGGATTTTAACTTTGTTAATTAAAAATTTCTTTTCTATGGTAGAAATGTGATTCTTGAACAATTAAGAGCTGCCAAGGTAGTGAAACGGCACATGAATAAATCATCTTCTTAGAGGGAACAAGGTTTGACGAACCAAGACATTGATTATGGATGTTCTAATGAAATTCACCTGTGACATTGAAGTTTATTTTGTGCCGTTGATGTTGTTCTGTTTCGTTACATTCTGATTTGTTTCTAAAGTGACAAAAGTTGAAGTTTCCCTGAAGTAGTCACTCAAGAATAATGTGGAGCACTCCCCAGTTGCACAAGTGACCTCTACATACTGGAGAGCTGTCCATAAGCTACTCCAGATCCAGAACACCATTTCAGAGTCCCAGAAGCACCAGGTAATTTTTCTACTCTTCAATTTTCTTTTTCTTTTTCTTTTTTGGCTGCTCTGTCTCAAATATTCTTCCCTAGCTTTCCCACTAAACCTTCTGCTGCGTAAACCCTAAAGACTGCAGTGTCAACCAATTTCTTTGGTCGTTGCTCAACATCGTCTTAATTGGCCTAAGCAAATGATAGCATTTTGCTTAACTTCATCTGTCAAAATAGCCATCCAATTTATTCAAACCTGACTACTCTTAACTTCCTCCATTTTTTTTTTCCCTTGCATTCTCACTAGCCTTTGCCTCCCTCTTTGTAGTGACTTGCTACTTCTTTGCTGCCACAGCATTCTGCATTGCTATTTGATTCCCTACAACAGCAGTCCTCCATGCACCAACTGGTCTGTTTATGCTGTCTCCTTGCTACTCATTCTCATATACACCACACTAATAAGCGTGAACGAGAACCTCAACAACCCCCCCCTCCCCTCAAAAAAAAAAAAAAACAAAAAAAAAAAAAAACCTTAAAGGGCCAAACGAACAACCAAACAACAAACAACAAAAATAAATTTGTCAAGAAAATAGCTACGATATAGGAAAAAAAAAAAAAAAAAACACACACACACGCATTTTATCCAGTATCTGTAAGAATATGAGTATGTACAATCACACAGCAGAGTATGGAAGGTTTTGTTTGAGCAATTTGCAGAGAATGAAAATGCTTTGGTGGGAAGGCTACCTACTTCAGAAATTGTTGTTGAAAATCTTCCATTGGTGTTTGTGGATGACAACAATGCATTTCCTGTGGTTTTTAAGGATGATACAAAAATTGGGGAACAAGGAAAGCAGCTACCTAGTTCACTCCTTTACCAAAGAGCATGCCATGTGCAGTAAAGTACTTTAAGCTCAGGTTTTATCTTGAAGTTTTTTTTCATGAGCATCAGATTGTATCCATTGTAGATAATGATTCCATTATGCAAATCACTTATATTTTCGTCATTATAGATAATTATGTTTTGCCCCATGTGTAATTTACCTCTTGACAAATGAGCATGTAATTTTCTTATGTCCAAGAACGTATTTCACTGTTCAATCCACAAACCATGGAGGATAATCACACATAGATCAAATTAGAGAGGGTAAATTCCACCTTACTTTGGAAAAAAATACTCTAGTAAGGAAAAATGGCTAGGGTTTAGTGTGTTTAATATCTCAATTAAAATTTGAATGGTTTGGTGTGTTTTATATTTCAATTAAAATTTGAAGGGTTTGGTGAGTTTTATATTTCAATTTAAATTTAAATAAACATGAGGTTGTTTGTACTTTTGTGTTGTTTTGACGTCCATGTTGTAATGGTTCAATGATTTGCTCATGTGTAGTAAGTTATTTTTCATTCAAAATTTGATTTGAATCAATAATTGGGTGAAGATTGGGGTAGAATTTTATGAAATTATAGAAGAATAAACTAGGGTGAATTACACTAACAGTTCTTATAGTTTGAGACTCTTGGTATTTTGATTCTTAACTTTTTAATTGCGATATATTTGATTCTCAATTTTGAATCTTGTTCCAAATAAGGACAATTGAAGATACTATTGCTCAATTTTAAGGAGAAAGTTGTCAATTTGATAAAATATATACTAATTTGATAAAAATAAATGTCAAAAAAATATTTTTGAATTTTTAAAAATAATTTATACCCACCAAGATGAAATTATGTAATGATATCAAATAGAAACTAATTTAATAAAAATAAAAACAACTACCGATTACATGATCATCATCCAAACACATAATAAAAATTAATTTGATACAAAAAATAATAATAAATGTCTAAAAGATTTATTAATTTTACATAATTTTATCTTTAGTGAGTACAAATAATTTTTAAAAATTTAAAAATATTTTTTTGACTTTTATTTTTGTCAAATTAGTTTTTATTTTATCAAATTGATGACTTTTATTTTTGTCAAATTAGTTTATATTTTATTAAATTGATGATTTTACCCTTGAAATTGTGCAATGGTATCTTCAACTGTTTTTATTTAGAACAAAATTCAAAATTTAAGATCAAATGTGTTATAAAACTCAAATTATAAGGACTGTTAGTATAATTTGCCTAATAAACTATTATAGGTGGATTGAGAAAGTGAAAGATAAAAAAAAAAAATTGTTATATGTATGAACACTCTTACTAAAACTCTTAAATGAAATATGTGTTCAAATATCATTAGATGTCCAAGTATTACTATATTTTTCACAATCAAATCTATTAAATCTTTGTACTTTTAATAAGATTTTTAGTGAGAGTTTTCTATATGATTAAATTATACTTTGTCCTTTTTTAAGTTTGGCCACCTTTTTATTTTGGCCCTTAAAGTTTATTTTTTCCCCTTTATGTTTCAATTTTTTTCCCAGTTTACTTTTAAAACTAATTTTTGTTTGAAATTAGATAGAAAATGTCACAATAACTGTCACATTACATAAAAAAAATAATATTATATTAAGGCCTAGTTTGGGAAGACTAAATAAGTGTATTTTTTTACTTTTTATGAAATATGGGTTGGATTTGTGTTGGGTTTGAAGTGATGTGTTAGAGAAGTGATGTGACTTAAATAAGATGATGTGACTTAAATAGGATAGTAACTTTTTGACTTTTTGTCTTTTTTCAATCATGCCAAACTTGGCTTAAGATTTGAATTTGTATTAGAGGTGCGGGTTATATATAATAAATAATTTTAATGTCACATGACTATTCATGTATCCTTTTTTGTCTAATTTTTAACTGAAATTTGTTTTACCAGTGTGAGCTTTGTATTATTTTAGTATTTAATGTTTAAATTATGTCAATTCGATCCCCAATCTAATGTATAAAAGTATTACACTTTGATTGCCAATATTTAAATTGTATTAATTTGATCCTCAATATAAAAAATTGTTTCAACTTAGACACCAAATGTTTAAACTACATCCATTACTAGAGTTAGATTGGAAGATTAAATTGCATCCATTAATTAAAAAAATTGAAAAAATAATTTAGTAATATATAACCACCCTCAGCTTAAAATGTATTGCTTTGATTTTTTGGGTGAATAATTAAAATGTATTGCTAACCAAGTAGGATTAATTCAATTTATCACTCAGGGTTAAACATCATGAAGTAATATTAAATGAAAACTCTTCCCTAGGTCATTTATTTCTTCTCATTTTAGAGTAATTTTTCTTTTATTGGTGTTGGGATGGGAGGTGTGTGGTGCTAAATTATTGCCAAGTTCAGTATATTTTGATATTTGTAAATAATCTACTACAGATTAACAATAAACAAATAACATGTAGCTCTCTCACAAAAAGTGATAATGAAAAAAGAGAAATAAAGTGCAAAATTATACTAATATTTTCAGTAAGCAGACAAGTGGCTAGTCTCTTCTACATTTTTACCAAAAAAAAAAGACTGAAATTGGGGCGATGGATAGACAGATATAAGAGGTCAGAGGGAACTCAAGTAGTCTTTAATCAAAGTGAAGAGAGGACTGGAATTCGAAGCACCATCCAGTTTCTGAAACATGATTCTGTCCATCCGGGCTTGAATTTCATCAGCAGATGCCAAGCCTTGCAGTAATTCTTGCAATGTCCTATCCACCCCAACCTCAGTGTTACCAATGCCAACTAAAATTTCTGGCAGGGTTGGCGACGGTCTTGATAGCTCACCAAGAGTAACCTTAACATTTAGGATACCTATTAGAATCAAGCCTCAATAGACGTAAAAGAAATTGAATCGACAAAATAGCAACTTCAATGTTATACATGTAAAAGAAATTGAATTGACAAACTATCAACTTCAATGTTATACATGTAAGTATATCATGTGTACACAGGGTCCATTAGTCCACAAAGAATTTCCTGAAATAGAGATCAAAATGTAAAGGAATATTGTGACATTCTCTTTAGGGTAAGTGAAACATTATAAATTTCCACTAGACTTCAGAATGAACTCAATATCTCACGAAAACACCCATTTTTATTAAAACCAGTAGAAGGGTAAACTAAAAGGAGTTTATTAACCAACCTCTCTACCCAGGAGTATATTAGCCTTCTGCTTTGCTATAGCAACAGCATAAGAAAACCCACCAATAGCATCAACTAAATCTCATGAAACTGCTTCTTTACCAGTCCACACTCTCCCTTGTGCCACCTCCTTTATCTTATCTACCTGCAACATAAAGATTGGACAGTAATGAAGCGATTGAAAGAGTACTGCACTCCATTAGTATACATAAATTGACTACCGTACAATCATTGATCTTGAATATGCCGCCTTGTCTTTAAACTGTTTGTATGCATTCTGAGCAGACTTGGCAAAGAGTTTTGCTTCATCTGATCTACAAGACAAATTTGATTATTATTCACAAATCACAAGTAGTCAAACCGTATTAAACTCTTGTTTGGTGCAGCTTATGGAGCTGCTTATTGCTTTTTTTATTTTGAAAATTTGTGCTGGTGTGTTGGTTTGGCCGCTTCTGAGGCAAATATAGCTGAAATAAGCTAAAAATAGCTGATAATTGGGAAGCAGGGGAAAACAAAAGCCTAACAGGAAAATACCATGGTAACGGTTATCTACAATTTAGACATTAGTGGATTGAATTGACCTTGAAGACATCATTATGGAGGCATAAATAATAGCAAAAATAAAGCCTCAATACAAAATTTTAATGTCATATTTCGATGAGGATGTGGATCGTTGCATCAAGTTGATGCTTCCCTTTTTCTGTATCCAAAATATTCAAGCACCTATATCCTCAGCAAATCAATCAGCCATCTTACCTGAATGGTCCATGTTCAGCTACAGTAAGCTCTGCAAATCTTCTTGTTGATAAGATCACTTTATTGAAGCCAATCTTTTCATATAGTTTTCCTAAATTAAACTTCCCTACAAGCACAAATATCAAAACATCAATAGCTATAATCTAGATCACCTAAATAGGCTTCCTTCATCGAAAGAAAAATTAGCCCACACAATGTCTCTCACAACTTAAGCACACTAGTAACTATAGCTACATATAAAATTGTGAAGATCCCTTTTCTGATTATTTTGTGAAGATATATGAAGAACGACAGTCATGTGATGATGCATCAAATAGAACATAACTACATCTGCAGCATTGACTGTATTCATAACTATAATCAAAGGCCTCCAAACAGTTATTATAAATTTATCTGCCATGTTGACTAGGCATAAAATTTGGAGGCAAGTCTCTCAATCAGCTGCTCATTTTGTCATCGATAGGTAAACAAGGGCAATTAAAGAATAGGATAAAGTTTGATCAAGTATCAGTTTGTTTTGGAAACATTTTATGTTTTTCGAACAGATGTCAACAAAAAAATGTCACCCTTTCAGGAATTGCTGAATGTCAACTAAAGGCATCCATCCTATTAATTGTTATTGATTAACGATTGAGTTCTGGTTATATTGTTTAAAACCTTTTGGAATAAATGTTTTTCCTTGAGA